AAAAAGAAATAGTTCTGAACATTGAAAATATAATAGTAAATAAATCACATAATTTTCCCCCTAGTAGAGCTTTTACACTTTTGGGGAAGTCAGGATAAAATCAGTAAATGTTTAGATTAGACAGATAGGTAGTTGGAGATAGATTAGATTAGAAATTAGACAGATAAATAGATTCAGATAGGCAGGCAGACAGTGGCAGTATAGGTTATATAGAAGAATAAAACATGTTACATAATAGAAGTGGCTGGGTAGTAGGGAAATAGGCACTGAAATATGTCTGGATCAAAATGGACCATAGACATTATTGTAAAATGCACAGTCATAAAACTCCTAGAAGAAAATATAGTAGCAAATCTAAATAATTTTGACTTAAGTGATGACTTTTTAGATACAATGGCAGAGGGCAAATCCATGCAAGAAAGAACTGATAAGACAAAAACAATCTCTTCAATAAATGTTATTAGGAAAATTGCATGCATGCAAAAAAAAAAATGAAACTAGACCAACTTACACCATACACAAAAATAAACTCAAAATGGATAAAGGACTTAGACAAAAGACAAAAGACAGGAAACCATAAAAATACTAGAAGAATCTACAGGCAGCAAAATCTCAGATATATGCCAAAGCAATTTCTTCACCAATATAGCTCCCAGGGCAATGGAAACTAAAGAGAAAATAAACAAATGGGACTACATCAAAATAAAAACCTTTTGCACAGCAAAAGAAACCATCAACAAAACAACAAGAAAGCCCACAGCTTGGGAGAACATATTTGCAAATGTTATCACTGATAAGGGTTTAATTTCCAACATTTATAGGGAACTCATACAACTTAACAAAAGGAAGATAAATAACCCAATAAAAAAAATGGGCAATGAACCTAAATAGATACTTTTTGAAAGAAGACAGAAGGAAGGCCAAGAGACCATATGAAAACATGCTCAAAGTCATTCATCATCTGAGAGATGCAAATCAAAACAACAACAGGGTGCCATCTGACTCATGTTAGAATGGCTATCATCAACAAATCTACAAATGATCAGTGCTGGAGAGGAGGTGAAGAAAAAAGAACCCTCATGCACTGCTATTGGGAATGTAGACTGGTGCAGCCCCTATGGAGAACAGTATGGAGTTTTCTCAAAAAACTAAAAATGGAACTCCCATTTGACCCAATGATCCCATTTCTAGGACTATATCCCAAGAAACTAGAAACACCAGTCAGAAAGTCACCCCTAACCGCCCTCCCCTGGGGACCTAGTCACCCCTAACTGTCCTCTATAAAATCGGGTCTAAACGAGTAGTAGGACATCCTTCAAGGGGTTCCCAAATTGAAGAGGGTGCAAGCTGGGTTGCACCAGGCCTCTAGTATAAAATAATGTTAAATGCAAACTGTCATCAAAACAGGAAACTGATCTTTAAATTAATTTTTAAAAATAGAGGCCCAGTGCACGGAATTTGTACACAGGTAGGGTCCCTAGGACTGGCCAGTGATCAAGACCTCCCTTCAAGGGGCAACTGGCGGGGCAATCAGGGCCCCCCTCTGGCACCCACCTTGGCCAGCCTGCCACCACCCACTCACCAGCCCTGCCCCCCACCACTGCTGCCAGTTCCCTCCCTTTGCAGGGCAACTGGCGGGATGATTGGGGAGAGGGTCCCCACTGGTACCCACCTTGGCTGGCCTGAGGCCTGTGGGCTTGGGACAGTTCCTGTATTGAACATCTGCCTCCTGGTGTCAGTGCACATCATAGCAACCAGTCTGTCTACCATTTGATCACTTTGCATATTAGGCTGTTATTATATAGGTACAGCTGTCATACAATATAACATTAGTTTCAGCCTTCTGAAGTGATCACACATAAATCTAGTAGCTACCTAATACCATGCATAGTTATTACAGTATCACTGACTATATTCCCTATCCTGTATGTTACAATCCCTTGACTTATTTTATAATATAATCAGTAATTTGTATTTGTTTCCTTTCTTTTCAACTGCACTCTATTTCTGAGATAAATCATCTAGTCCTAAAACAAAACAAAACAAAATTTTTAAAAAATGACTTCATTAAGTTTTTTTTAAAAGTTTGATCTGTGAAAGACATTATCTAGAGAATACAAAAAAGCCACAGACTGGGAGAAAGTATTTATAAAATATATTTCTGATAAAGGACTATATCAATAGAACTCTTAAAACTCAACAATAAGTAAACAAATAATCTGACTAAACAAAGAGCCAAAGACATTAACAGAAAACTCACCAAAGAAGATACACTTGATGGGAAATTAGCATATGAAAAGATGGTCTACATTTTATGTCATCAGGGAAATGCAAATCAAAACAACAATGAGATACTATTACACTCCTAGTAGAATGATCAATATCTAAAACAATGACACCTCCAAATTCTAGGGAGGGTATTGCACAACAAGAACCTTCAGCCATTGCTACTGGCAATACAAAATGGTACAACCACTGTAAAAAGTTTGGAAATTTCTTTGTATGATGTGTATGTTTTCATATGTAAATATTTGCATATGTTTGCATACATGTGTGTGTATTTGTACTTTTTACATATAAAAATCTGAACATATTTAACATACAATTGAGGACTTGATGAGTTTGAAAATAAGTATATACTCTCCAATCTATGCCATAAATATACCTGTATCCTCCATTTAGGTTGCTTTGGGAGTTTCCAAGAAAGATAATGGCTGATTTCATTTCTAGTTTGGAAGTGGTAGAGATGGAATGAAGTATATAACAATTCAGGTATTTTGGAGATAGTCAAGTAGGACTTGCTAAAAGATTAGCAGAGTGAAGACAAAATAATAATTATGAATGACACACCAATTTTGGATTGAGTCATAAGTTTGATGTTAGTTTCACTTACTGAGCTAGTGAAAACTTGGGGGAAACCAGGCTTTAAAGGAGGGATATTGTCTCTTTGTGGCATGTTAATTTTGAGATGGCTCAGAAGGCAGATACCCTGTTTCCCCGAAAATAAGACAGTGTCTTATATTAATTTTTTCTCCCAAAGTTGAGCTAGGTCTTATTTTTAGGGGATGTCTTATCTTTCCATGCGCTAGGTCTTATTTTTGGAGGATGTCTTATTTTCGGGGAAACATGGTAGTTGCTTCAATTTAACATTGGGACATATGAATTTGGAGCTGAGTGGATAAGTCATTGCTAGCTTTAAAGTAGGATTCAACAGCATAGGAATGCTGTATAAAGAGTATATAATGGATGGAATAACTTAGAGAAATATATACAGAGAAAAGAGAAGAGGGGCTACAATAAAAAGACAATGCTATTAGAATTGGTTACATGGAAGTTCTTGGTGACTAGTGCATTTCAGTTGAATGGTGAAGGCAGAAAACTAACTGTTTTTTCACTGAGTTATACTTTAATCTGAAATATGACTTTTGAATATCATGTTAGAGAATAATCTTAAGGTTTTTTTGTTTGTTTGTTTGTTTGTTTTTAGATAAAGAAGGTTCCAAATGATTCCTTAAATCATAAGGGAGGTGCTAACATTTCCAGAAAAGGTTGAAAATCTGAATATAGAATTGTATTGTAAGCAGACAGAGTATGAATAGTTTCCTGGAAAAGGTAAATAACAGTGGGGCAGGATTTGACTCTGTTTTTACAGCTCTGACTGCTGACTCTGTCAATCAGCAAGGTAGGGCCTTGTGGACCATCATGAGATACAGCAGTCATTAATTCTTGGTAGATGATTTAGTGGGACAGGGACTGATCTTTAAGGAGCAGGCAAAACCATTATACTTCACTAAAGATAGCTTTGGAAAGCATGTGGGATAGGAGTCCCTTTCTATCCAAGGGTCTGCATTGAGTTGCTTTTTATTTTTCTTCATGTTAATATGACTTATGGTCACAAGAGAGTTTAATATTGTTGTGAAGATATAAAGTTAACATCTAAATATGTAGATATCTCTCTCCGCTCACCCTCCCCCCGCCCAGTTTGACTCTTTGCTGTTTAATTTGTTTTTTTCTACACAATTATATTGAAAATTAGCAATTTATCAGTAATCTCTTCAATATACCTCCTTTAAATTTATTCACATTGGTAATTTGTACAACAATAATGTCATTTCTTCTTTAAATTGAGATCATTTGGCCACCATTTACTATTTAAAATAAAAAAAAAACACCTCATGATAAGTAATTGTTAAAGTTTTAATATTGGCCAGCTTTCTCCCTCATGAAAAATAATTCTACTTCCCTTAACCTTTCGGTGGACACTTTAAAAATCTTAATTTATTTATTTATTTATTTTTTTACCAAATTTTTCTAATAATGAGAAAGCTTAACCTTGATAAAATTCTAGTTCAAAACCTTACCAGCACATTACAGAATTTATTAAAATGATATCAATTTATACCTATAAATTAGTTCATTTGTTTAATTTGAGTTGGCTTTAAATAAAATTAAATAAAATAAGCTTACCAAATGTGTTTAGCTTGGCTTAGAAGTGGAACATTCAACATCCATGAACCTGGTTGTGGTTATTTATACTTCAGAGACGGTGATATAGTTTCACAAGAAATAAATGTTTTCTCTTTTTCTTTTCTTGAGAAATGCTACTTTTAAATTATATTTATTTGAAAGTAGACATTCTGAAATTTGACTTCCTCTTATGATCCCTATGATTTTTAATTAAAACCGTGGATATGACTTTAAATTGTTTGAGTCTTTGAGTTCAATATCTTTATTCTTTAATTGTATCAAAGATTTCACTGATTTTTTTTCTTTTGCATATTCATGCAATATCATTAACTTCTACATCTTCACTTGCATGATATTTGAATCTTTCTAGGTATCTTTCATTTAAGTCTTCATATCCCCAAATTTAGCACAGGCATAAACATCTTCAACTCCTTCACTTAATCATCTATTAAGTTTTTCTTAACAGCTTTCTTATATTTTATGAAGATTCTCTGAGTCTTTGTATTCTTCACCCATTTTTTAAAATATTTGATTAAATATTCAAACTGCTCCCTCTTCATAAATTTAGTTTCAGATTATTGAACTACTCTTTCAGTAAATATGCTTTTGAATTATTATCCAAGGCCTACTTCTTTTTTCCCTCCTTCTTTCCCTCCTTCTTTTTCTCCTTCTTTTTCTCCTTCTTTTTCTCCTTTTTTGCATCAGAAGATTCTGTCTCAGTCCCTCCCTTGGTATCCTTCTCTTCTTTCTCGCCTTCTTTCTTGCCTTCTTTCTTCTTTTTTTTGCCTTCTTTCTTACTTTTCTCACTTTCTTTCTCACCTTCTTTCTTACCTTTCTTGCCTTCTTTCTCGCCTTCTTTTTCGCCTTCTTTCTCGGTTTCTTTCTCACCTTCTTTCTTACTTTTTTTGCCTTCTTTCTTGCCCTCTCTCTTGCTTTTTTTCTTGTCTTTTGATTCATCCTCTTTGTCACTGGGGCTCTTTGCATCTGTTATTTCATCTCCAGGTTTGTCAGTCAGCTCCTTTTGCTTCTTTGAACCCTTATCTTTTTTGGAACCTTTCTTCACCAATTCATTTCCCTCTACTAGTTCTTTAGCTACTAACTCCTTGTCCTTCTTTGCACCTTTCTTTTCTTTTTTTGAATCTTTCCTCTGTAATCCTTTTTCCTCTCCTGATTCTGCATCTGACCCCATGCCCTTTTTTGGACCTTCCTTATCCTTTTTTGAACCTTTCTTTGTATCTCCTTTTTCAGCTTCTGATTCTGTAGTTGACTCCTTGATCTTTTTTGAACTTTTATCTTTTTTGCTAACTGTTTCTTTTTTTGAGTCTTTCCTAGTTATTTTTAGCTCCCCTGAAACTGCGGATTCGCTTTCTGACTCTAATGTGTCCTTCTTGCCTTCTTTAGCTGCTGCTCTAACCGGGCCATGAGTTGGAGGCCGTCTCCTGGCAGCTAAATAGACAGATGGTCTTTCTGAAATTTGCATCAAAGAACGGTGCATCCATAATGGTCGTTGATAACCTCCCTTTAATTTGTCTTCATCAGGTTTCTGCAGTATTGATTAGAATAATAATAAATAGCTTGTATTAGTTTTACAGCCTTTATAACCAGGTCCCAAATACATTTAACTTCAATCATGAAAAAAATTTAGATCTTAATGAGTATCAAATAAATTGTAGATTTTATAGTTTATTTTTTGTTTATAGTGTCATGCTTTTATGAATGGGTAGTCATGTCTCATTTTGGATATCATTTCAATTTAGAGTATCTTTGTAACTCCTGCAAGGTTGTATGTCAAAAGTGGTACAGACCTTCACTTACTAATGACATACCAGAATCTCTCTGCACAATCAGGAGAGGGCTAGTTCTTTGACTCTGTGTTTTTGGAGTCTCTTTAAATATCTTGCTTAGCCTCTGTTTTGAGGCTAACCCAGAAACTATTTTCTAATACTTAATAATTATATGTTCAGACAGATAATGATCTCTATTGTTACCTTCAAGGTTTCTAAAAATTAAAGTGCTAACTGTGCTTACCAGTAAAAGCCTGACATGCCTCCTACATGGCAAGATAAAAACTGAGTATCATCAGATAGGAAACTGCAACAATGAAAGCTAGACCATGCAGTACACATTCATTTGTTCAGAATGGTTCATTTTGTTTTCAACTTGTAACCAAATATTTGCAAAATCTTAATTGAAAAAAAAAATGGAGGTATTGCTAACAAGCAATGGAAAAACAAATTGAATAAAGGAAGAAAAGAAAACAAACACAGAAGAAACCTGGATCACGATAGCTAGGATACATTTCCTAAAATAAACAAGAGTTGATGTTATATTTATCTTGTAAAACTTTTTCTGTCAACATTTTTATATTCCATGATGACTCCAGAAACCTTATGAAATATTTATGTTCCAAGATTCAGAATCCTGAATTCTATATTACAGGAAATGAAGAAACATTGAAACTGCATTGGAGTATAAAGATTTTGAGGAAGTCTTTCTAGCGGGGTAATATTTTCTGAATGTTCATACTACTTGTAGCATTAGGATATACAGATTTCTGTCATTTTGGATACCTATTTTCTATAATGTAGGCTTACTGAACAAATGGTTAATATAGAATAAGGGGGAACTTTTGTACAGTGAAACACTAATAAATATATCTACTGTCTTCAAAAGAATTTGAATTACCTTTAACTGTATTGTTTAATGACATCTAAAAGACATGTGTGCCCTGACCGGTTTGGCTCAGTGAATAGAGCATCAGCCTGTAGACTCAGGAGTCCTGGGTTCGATTCAGGTCAAGGGTATGTGCCTTGGTTGCAGGCACATCCCCAGTGGGGAGAGTACAGGAGGCGGCTGATCAATGTTTCTCTATCATTGATGTTTCTGACTATCTATGCTTTTCCCTTCCTCTCTGTAAAAAAATCAATAAAATATATTTTTAAAGACATGTATGAGTTTAATTGAATTGAAATGTAAAATTTAGTTCCTTAGTTGCCCTCACCCATTTGAAGTATTAAATAGCCATAAAGAAAGGTAAATATATAAAATATTTCCATCATCACATAAATCTCATTACCCAGTGATGATCTGTAAAGACATATGATTCTACCTGCTTTCACAAGGTTATTACTATTGACACTTGTTAAAATACTCACTAAATCTGCATTTGCTTGTAGTTGGGAAGGTCTTGATCTCGCTTTTTTTCCTGGCCGCTGTGGTTTGGGAAATTCCAGGGAAAAGTGTTGCTGATTCCATGATTTTTTGCTTAATTCACTGACTAAAATAAGAAAGCATTAAACATAAACTTTAGAATTTCACTAAAACTAATATGACAGTAAGGTATTACATTTCATGTAAATGAAGAAACAATTAAAATTATGTCTTCATTTATTTGCTAGTGTTTGAAACCCTCTAATATTAATATGAGAAAATAAAATTTGATTTTTCTGTTTTTCCCACTTTTACAGAAAAATATATAAAATAATGATTGTGAAACTACAGTGAGATAAATGGAAAGAAACCATTTTACTACTTTCTTTTAGTCTTTCTTCTAATCCAGTCTAGATTGTGACTTTATATTCTTTTGGGTAGAACACAATTCTACAGAGAACAGAAAATACGATAACGACTTCTGTACCCTTCAAAGTAATTAGTGCAGAACCTGTTATAAAATGTTCAGGAAATATATGAATGAATCTAAATGCTAATGCTTTAGATCAGCGATTTTCAACTAGTGTGCCTCAACAGGCACAATAGTTTGCTGCAAGAATTTTTAAAACATGCAGTACCTAACTATATAGTCAGAATCATTGACCTCTTTTTCCTTAGATTGCCAAATAAAAATATGACAATAGCCAATATAACAATTGTCATTTGTTGTGAATGAATAAAAATTAAACCTTTTTTTTTTTGGTCAGACCAGCAAAAAATATATTATATATGCAATGAGATTAAAAAGGTTGAAAATCGCTGATTTAGATCTCCTTAGTAATAATTTTCCAAGCTGCAAAAGTGCATTTTATTATACCCCCAAACTGCATCGTTATAGGGAGAATATTAATGAATAAATTGACAATTAAAGGCTACCTATAGTATTATGACTAGGAGGATAAAGTCACCCACAAATTATAATATTATAGAAATAGTTAAAGGTTACCAATGAGGTAAGTGAGAGATATATCCTCATTGTATTTGAATATGTGCAGCAATATTGTGTATAAGTGAAAATAGACTTGTCCTGTGAATCTCCTAAAGACAGAAGCAGGATCAGTGACAAAATATATAGAATGAAAGGCATAATTAAGATCAATATATGAGGAAAAAGCACTTGAAGTAAGAAGTCTTCCAACACAAGGTTGATTGGCTCTGTCAATTAATGAATTTTTTGGTCAATTTTAACACTAATGAAAATCTATCATAAATATAGTAGAAGACATTTCTGACATGAGTGAAAACGTGTTTATCCAGTTTTCTACACTGCCTTTTAATTGTGATTGAATGATTTCTAATATATAAATTTGTCCACCTTCATATTGCCGTACATATTTGCTTAATCTGCTTTAGATTTAAAACAAAATATCTTTAGAAGGTATTCACAGAGCCCTTGAAAAAGGTGGTTGGAGAAAAAAAAAGTTAATTTTTATTAATATTCCATGACAGCTATTGCTTTATCATTTTGAATGGAAGATAATTTCTTATGCCTAAATTAATCATACATGTTTAAAACACACACACACACACACACACACACACACACACATATATATATATATATATATATATATATATATATATATATATATATATAATCTCGAACCTTTTCTTACCTGGAATGTAATTATCATATGATCCATAGTTTAGTTTTTGGCTATTAAAATAAGAGGGAAAGATTTCAATTAATATATAGAAAAATAACTTTTATGGCCATTATTATGCCTAAGCACTTGCCTCCACCAACTAGAGAAATACTTTGCATTTTCATATCTCTATTAGGTAAGATTATTTGATTCCAGAAAAACAGAGATGAAAATATATAATTTTTAGGACAAACTTCAACAGAGCTAAAACAACAGGAATAAAGCATAAAAAAAGTATCAACTTTTCATATTTGAAACACAGACATTTTTAAAATTGTGAAACCGTTATTGAATTCATTTTCTCACCTCATGCTCCAAAACTACTTACAATTGAATTTTAACTTAGCACTTTGAAAACACTATGCTTAAGTAAAATCAGCTTCTCATAATATTTTCAGAACTAAATTTAATCCAGATCATTCAATGTCTATGTGTCTGTGAGTGTGTGTGTGTGTGTGTGTGTGTGTGTGTGTGTGTGATTGCGTATCACAGTATTGACCTGGATTTTGATTTTTCATTTATTTTCTAAGAAAATATGATAAAATTACGTTGCAAAGTATTTTACATTCATAAGTTTCCATTTATTGTAGTACTATATGAGCATATGTCTAGAAAAAGGAATAGTTATAGTCTAATTTTAATATATTTAAATGGAGGGAAATATTTTTATTTATTAGATAAATATTATTCTCTTCCCATTATACTATAGAAAGAGTCATTATTAATAATGAGTGGGTATGGTATTACACACACACACACAACACATACATGCTTACTTTGTTTTTAAGTTTCTTGATATTACATGAAAGTTCTAGCTCCCAGCATAAAACCTGTCATGTTTCAAAATTCATTCTTTAAACATGTTGAATGAAACAATTGAATACAATTTAGGATGTGTTGACTAAATTATCTGGTCTGGTTGGGGGTGGGTTGTTTGTTTGCTTTTTTAGCTTTGTTTCTTTTTTATCTGAGGACATTAATTAAAATTACTTGCCCCTCTATATCTGAATCTCTAGGTTTGAATCTAGCCAATGTATATTTATACAATGCTGAAGAAATTTTGAAGTCCAAACATGGTTTTGAACTACTCTTTTCTGAAAGAGGAAATATTTCAGGTTTATGAAATAATATTATTAAATTAGAGATTTAAAAATATACACCAGCATTGTCCATGAATTCCCTGTATAGTATATAGAACATATTATTTGATCATCAAGAACTTGAATTAAAAATCAATAACAACAAATATAAAAAATATATAGAAAATATACAGAAATTGGATACAGTAAAGAAGGCTGAGTAAAAGAAAATATGATTCAACTGAAATATAGTGTTGGAGGAGAGCTTTTACAGATCCCTTGGACTGCCAGAAAGACAATCAAGTGAGTCATAGAGCAAATGAAGCTTAAAATATCGCTGGAGGCAAAAATGACAAAACTGAAGCTGTCCATCTCCAGGCACATCATGAGAAGGCAGGGTTCTTTGGAAAAGGCAATGATGCTGGTAAAAATAGAAGGTAGCAGGAAAAGAGGAAGACCAACTATGAAATGGATTGACTCCATAAGAGGAGCCACAGAGATGGGTCTACAGGAGCTCAGCAGAGCTGCTGAGGATAGGACATTGTGGACATCACTCACTCATAGAGTTTCCAGGAAGGAGTCTGAGCCAACTCCATGTTATGTAACAACACAAATATTTGAAAAGTGAACAGTTCCTTCTAAATAACCAGTGATCAAACAGAAATCACAATGCATACTTATAATAAAAAGCAAGTGAACAATAATATATTGAAAACGGTGGAATACTATGTATCGTTCATACAGTAGAATGTATTGCTTTAATTCCATATTATAAAACACTTAAAATCAGTGTTTCAAATATCTGTTTTATAATTAGGAAAATAGCAAAAGTTATACGGAGGAGATCATAAAGCTATAGGTCAAAATCAATGGATGAGTAAACAAAATTAGAGCAAATTTAAAATTCAGAAATTTGGACTTTTTTCTTTTTACATATATATTATTGATTTTTTTACAGAGAGGAAGAGAGAGGGATAGAGAGCTAGAAACGTCAATGAGAGAGAAACATCGACCAGCTGCCTCCTGCACACCCCTACCGGGGATGTGCCCGCAACCAATGTACATACCCCTGACCGGAATTGAATCCGGGACCTTTCAGTCCCCAGACCAACGCTTTACCACTGAGCCAAACCGGTTTCGGCTGGACTTTTTTCTTTAAAGATTATTAAAATTGCTTAAGTCCTAGGAAGACTGATGAAGAAAAGAAAATACAAATTATCAATATTAGTACAGATACAGACTTTATAATTATATAGATTTCAAAGAATAATGAGGATTGTAATTTATAATTTATGATAATAAATTTAACAATTTAAGTGAAATAGATGAGCTCCATGTAAAACTCAGTTTACGAACACTGGCACAAGATGAAATAATAAAAATGTGAATAGCTCTATAATTATTAAATAAATTTATTTCATTATTTAAAAAAAAAACCTTCTGAGAAAGAAAAGCATAGGCCCAGACCAGTTTACTGATAAAAAAATAATAAATAAATAAAATAAAATAAAATAAAATAAAAACCATTCAGGAACATTACACAAGTTTTTAAGGAACAAGAGGAAGGAGAAAGATATTTCAATTAATTTGAGACCATTATAAAAACCCTGACTCTAAAACCCCTCAAAGACATTTCCAGAAATGAATATTCTAAACTAATACACTACATTAACAGACACCAAGATTCCTTCTGAGATTAGATGAGATCAAATGTGTTCATGGTTGCTTGGCCTTAGTCACAAAAATTCATTAACTTGTTAACTAATCTTACTGAAAAGTATGTAAAATGGCTAATACATCATGATCATTGAAAGTTGGCATATTATATATATGTAATATATCATATATCATAATCATATATCATAATCATATATCATAATCATATATATTATATATTATATATTATATATTATATATTATATATTATATATTATATATTATATATTGTATATTATATATTATATATTATATATTATATATTATATATTATATATTATATTATATATTATATATTATATATTATATATTATATATTATATATTATATATTATATATTATATATTATATATTATAATTATATATTATAAATTATATATTATATATTATATATATATCAACCATTGCAATCATTCTAACAAGAATTTGTCTGATTATCTCAAGACAGGTAGAATAATTTTTGAAATAAAAAGTAACATTTCCATTCATAATTAAAAACTCTAAAAAAGCTAGGAATAAAGGGCATCTTCCTTAAATAGATAAAATGTGTTCAGATAATACTATTAAAATAAGTCTTAATGGTGGAATATTGGCTGGTTTTCCTCTATAGATCAGAAACAAGGCAAGGGTGCTTACTGCTATTCAACATTGTAATCCAGACCCTATTTTGTTTTATAAGTTAATGAAAATATCACAATTGGAGAGGAAGAAGTAAAATTATTTTTGCAAAAGATCTGTTTGAGTAAATAGACTATGCAATCACATCTACAAATATTCTTAGAGCTCTTATGCAAATATAATCTATATTAATAATAGAGGAATATGCAAATTTGTCAGGATGCCCTCACACAATGACCGAACAGCAGGCTATGTGGGGTGACCGGGCCAGCAGGGGTTGCAATGAGGGGCAACCAGGTCAGTGGGGTGGGGGGAAAAGGAAGGAGTTTAAGGGTGATCAGGCCAGCAGGCAGAGGTAGTTAGGGGTGATCAGGCCAGCAGGGGGGGGCAATTCGGGGTGATCAGGCCAGCAAGGGGGGCAGTTAGGAGCAATCAGGCAAGATGACAGAGGCCATTAGGGGCGATTAGGCAGGCAGGCAGGTGAGCAATTAGGAACCAGCAGTCCCAGATTGTGGTCCCAGTTTTGGCCTTCAGACATCCCCCAATGGGTCCTGGATTGGCGAGGGTGCAGGCTGGGCTGAGGGGACACCCCCCCCCCCCACCCCATGCATGAATTTTGTGCACTGGGCCTCTAATAAAATTATATGATGCTCAAGGCCCAATGTACACAATTCGTGCAAAGTAGGCCTTCCTCCCCCAGCTGCTGGCACCGGCTTCCCTCTGGCGCCCAGGACCCGGACTTCCCTTGCAGCCCCAGCTTCTTCAGGTCTAATTAGTATATTATACTTTTATTATTATAAACAAAGACTAATTATATAAACTATATTTCTGTAACAAGAGAAATGGCAAGATAAAAATATAAGAAAAAAATACAATTTGCAATAACATAAAGATATTTAGAGATAAGTTTATTGAAATATATATAAGACCTATATAAAAAATCTATTTTTTTTTTCCCTTGGGGAAAAAATATATTCTGATTAGAATGTCCCCTTTATACCCACTAGAGCAGGTAAATAAAAAAATTAATTACATCAACTATCAGTAACTCTGTAAGCATCTGACATATTCATCATTGGTGGTAGGTGTAAAAATGGTACGACAACTTTGCAATACCATTTGATATTTTTAAATAAAGTTCAACTTAGACATGTTCTTTGTATGATTTAGTATTTCCACTAGTAGTTTACCCATGAGGACTACAAAGAGAACTGAACAAAATATGGGTAGCAGCTTTATTCATAATGACCTAAAACTAGAGTATCCCTAATATTCATCAATCGGAGAATGCATAAACTGTGATATGTTTATGTAATGAAATACTTCCCAGCAATCTAAGAAAATGAATTACTGATATATGCAAATATGGCAACTTGGATGAATCCAAAAGTAATATTATACTAGGAGAAAATATCAGAAACCTAAAAGTATATACTATACAATTTAATTTCTATGATTTCAAGAATAGGAAATACTGTTTCTTGTAACTGAACAGCCATCTGTAGGAGAAGGGCAGTGTGGATTGATGGGAAAGTGGCACAATTTAGCCTAATGGGTGTGATTGAAAATTTATATTTCTTAAGATAGGGTTAGTGATA